TCGAGGTCTAAGTAGTAGGTTAAGGTCGGTAGCGAGGTTTAGATGATAAGGTAGTAAGAGTACATAGCACTTAGGTAAGCAGGTAGGCTTAGGTAGGTAGGCTAGCTCATTTAGGTAGTAGGTACGGATAGGTCTCCCGGTACGGGTAAGGTAGATAGGGTAGTCGTAGGCGGTAGGTAGGTAGGACTAGTGGGTAGTAGACGGTTTGGTAGGCTAGTAGGTAGGTAGGTACGCCGCGTATAGGTAGAGTAGGATAGGTAGCGTAGTAAGGTATAGAGTAGGAATAGGTGGTAGGTAGTAGTAGGTAGGTAGGAGGTAGGTAGGTACGGTAGTAGGACGTAGGTAGGTAGTTAGGTAGTAGGTAGGAGGTAGTAGGGTAGGTAGGGTAGGTTAGATGGGTAGGAGGTAGGTAGGTAGGTAGGTAGGTAGGTACGGTATGGGGTAGGGGTACGTAGGTAGGTAGGAGGTAGGTAGGGTAGTAGGTACGTAGGAGGTAGTAGGTAGTAGGTAGTAGGTAGGTAGTAGGTAGGTAGGTAGGTAGGTAGTAGGTAGGTCTAGGTAGGTAAGTAGGTAGGTAGTAGTGTAGGAGTAGTACGGTTAGAGGTAGTAGTAGGTAGTATAAGGTAGGTAGGAGGTAGGTAGGTAGGTAGGTAGGTAGTAGCAGTAGGTAGGGAGGTAGGTAAGGTAGGTAGCGTAGGTACGCGTAGTAGGTAGGTAGGTAGGGTAGGAGGTAGGTCAGGTAGGTAGGTAGGGTAGGTAGGAGGTAGGTAGGTATGGAGGTAGGTAGGTAGGTAGTAGGTAGGTAGGTAGTAGCGTAGGTAGGTAGGTAGGTAGGTAGGGTAGCGTAGGTAGGTAGGTAGGTAGCGTAGGTAGCGTAGGTAGTAGGGTAGGGTAGGTAGGGTAGGTAGGTAGGTAGTTAGGTAGGTAATGTACGGATGTAGGTAGGCGGTAGGTAGTAGGAGGTAGTTAGTAGTAGGTAGGTAGGTAGGTAGGTAATTTAGGTAGGTAGAGTAGGTGTAGTAGGTAGGTAGGTAGCGTAGCGGTAAGGTAGGTAGGTACGGTAGTAGGTAGGTAGTAGGTAGGTGCAGGCAGGGCAGGGCAGCAGGCAGGTTGGTAGGTGAGGTAGTTGCGTGGATGGGGG